ACGGAAATGTCATCACACTTCTACATATATTTCATCATCGCGTTTTATTACATTATGTTCTGCGCATGCAAGATGTTTCTTGTCGGAGTCTCGAGCACGATGAAAAGTTGTCGTCCGGGCTTTTGGAAATTGTAAAACAGAACGCGGTTATGACGTCACATCTTGGTAAACGGAACGGTTTTGGACAAAAAGTTATCGTCCGGACGTTCATTCGGAACGCACCCCTGAAGACGAAATGGAAAGGCGGGAAAATGCTTGTTCGGCAATGAAAGATTAATCACTGAATCTGTCTCAAGTTTAAAGATAATTTATTACAAACTCAAGTGAATATGCTTACGTATGAAGAACTGGTGTAGACGTGATCGCGTGCGAATGACAATAATAATAACGGTATTGCAAGACCGGCTATGACCCATATAGGATTTTACTATTGGTCCGTTGCTGGCTCAAGATTGGTTACCAGATGCCCTATATTGGCGTGATAATGGTGACCATAACTGGCCCACAAATGGGAATACTGTGGGATGATAACTTCGGCTCGATAATGTATAACTATATTGGCCAAATGTGATAAACAATGTTGGGCCATTAATGGTTATCTTATTTAGCCAATATTGGCTTTAATGTAGTGGCTTGATAATAATTATTCCAATTATTTTAAATGTTTTCCAACAATAAGAAACACAGATGACACAGTGTAACATAGAGTGAATCTTTTTATTTTTGTTTAACATTGGCAAATAATAATTCATTGTGTTACACTGTCATCCTGTGTTTCTTGCTAGACAGTATTTTTTTATATTAATTATTCATACGATAATTATATGATTGCAGGTATACGTATATATTAATCAAGATGCTTTTTAACAATTATCAATTATCAATAGAATCATAATTAATAGACTTAATTTTTGTTTGTGAATTAATGCTTTCTTCATTGTAATCTGGCATAACCTCATTTATTTGGCTACATAACCTCAACACTGTTTGTATTGTCAATAATAATTTCACTTGGATTGTCTATGTCACTTTTTTTAATATTATTGATATATTCATTATTGTTAATTTTTAACCGTTTTAATTTTCGATACTTTTTTTGTCTGTAATAATTTTGCGACATATTTAATAAGGATAACTATGGCACGATAAACTATAAATGATAAAAGTAACAGACAAAATTACGGAAATTAGCCAATCATATACCAGACATGGCCCAGAACAAGATACCAAGTATTGGCCAATTGTTGGTTACCATATATTGAGCCAAGCATTGGCGTTATTGCAAACGACTGGCATTCCTATATGAGGACACAGAGAACTTAGAAATTAATGACAAGATTATTGTCTAACGACATAAACAATTAAGATCTCGCGACGTAACTTAAACAGGAAAATAATACGGCTTACAAAGCGCTACTTACAATTTATCGCTGTGTTTTATAAAAGGTATGCATGACGCACGCAATACGCTGAACGCTTGTATCTCTCTAACCAACGAGTATCTTCTAGAGAGGAAATTGAAAAAGAACAAATTTGAGCGCCGCAGCTAACGCCAAAGTACTCCTCCCTCAGTATTAATGTTATGGAAAAAATACTGATTACGATAACTAAAACGAAAATAACAAAGAGTAACATTAAACAAAATAAACAGTAATTTATTCTTAATTAGTTGCTTAATTTAATAATACGTGAATTAAATCTTAAATCTAATCGTCTTTTACTTGGTTGCCGAACCCGAGTAAGTCTTTAGTTCACATTGCACTGGTATATTAGTTGAGGACGGAGATGTAGTAGTCGGAGGAGTTTCTGAGTTCTGTATTATTAAATAAGCAGGTTTAAGTCTGTCGACAGTGACGTTGGCATCTACCGTTAACCTCAATAGCAAAGACTTTGTCTGAGATACGCTCTAAAACTTTATGCAGTCCGGTGTACGGTTGATCCAAAGGACGCCTGTTACCTTCTACTTTAAGAAATACTTATGAGCAGTTATATAAATCTTTATAGTAAAATAGTTTAGGTTTGATATGATGAGAGAATGGTTTAGGTCGTAACTGTTGCATAATTATGTGAAAATCTTCTACGAAGATTCGTGGATCGCTCGGCATTTCTTCAGAGGAGAAAAACTCGCCAGATACTTTAAGTGTGTAGTATCGTAAACCAATTCTGCTGCGGAAGTACCTAGATCTTCTTTAAAGCAAGTTCTCAGGCCGAGCAGTACTACTAGTACTGTATTCGTCCATTGAGCTTCACCATAGCACATTAATGCAGTTTTTAAGAAATAATTAACGATGCCATCGCTCGATGATCCCATTAGCTTCAGGATGGTATGCAGTTGTCCGACAGCGCTTCGAACCGACGAGTTTGGTCAGTGCGTCGAACAGTTGTGCTTCGAATTACGGACCTTGATCGCTTGTAATTAGGCACGGTGCTCCGAATCTGGCTATCCAGTGGGAGAAGAACATCTTCACTACCGTGTCTGCAGTGCAGTCTTGCAATGGAATAGCTTCTGGCTAACGTGTGAATCGGTCAATCATTGTTAATAAATACCTGTAACTTTTAGATGAAAGTAAGGGGCCGACAAAATCGATATGGACGTGTTCGAAACGGGTGTCGGGCACTGATATATTGGTGGGTGATGTATGATTGTGCCGATAAATTTTGGATTGCTGGCATGCTAAACAGGTGCAGACCCACTCCTTAATGTCCTTAGCCATGGAGGGCCACACGAATTTCTGCGCAATTTGTAATGAGACCGGAATTTGCCGGTCTGCCACTTGGATGAGACATTTGATGTACCAGATCGAAAACTCGTCTGCGTAATAGTCCGGGAATATACGGTCTTATCTCTTCTTCTAACGTATCACAGTAAACGATGGATGCCGTTTCAGATAAGGTAAACCTTTTAAGCTTCAGAGAGGTTGATGTAGACTGTTTTAGTTGCTGTAATTCCTCGTACGAGGCTTGAGCTACTGCGATTTCCTGCATATCGAGGCTGGTTGGCATCACGATAGTGTCGGCGCGAGATAATGCATCTACTACGATGTTTTCAGCGCCTGAGACGTGACGAACGTCAGTTGTGAATTTCGAGATGAAAAGTAGTTAGCGGATTTGTCTTAGTGATTGTTGATCTGAACTTCTCTTGAATGCGTAAATGAGAGGTTTATGATCCGTGAGGACGTGAAAACTCAGTCCTTCTAACATGTATCGGAAGTGTTTGATAACTGTACAGGTAGATAGTAATCCTCTATCGTATGCGCTATACTTTGCTTGCGTAGGTATAAGCTTCCTTGAAATGAAACTGAGAGGCTGCAATATCACGTCGCTGTGCCGCTGCTGTAATACAGCACCGATTGCTTTGTCAGCGGCGTCTGTTTGTAACGAGAATGTCGCATTGCTGTCAGGAAATGCAAGCGAGGTGGCTTGAGCGAGATGTTCCTTAACTTGTTGGAAGGATTGTCTGATCTCAGGAATCTATAATTTTTCCTTAATTTTTGCAGTGCCTCGTTTATGCCCTGAGATAGCGTTCAACAATGACGCCTGCATGCTTGCGAGATTCTTGAGGAACTGATTATAAAAATTGAGCATCCCCAAGAAACGTCGAAGTCCTTTAACTGTAGCTGGTTCCGGAAATTCGGTGATCGCTCGGACTTTCTCTGGAAGAGGCTTAATACCAGCGGCGGTGATGGTGTGTCCAAGGAAATTGACGTTTTTCTTGTCAAACACACATTTGTTCGGATTGATTGCTATGCCATACTGTTGCAACCTGTTGCAATAGTATTTCAAGGTGTTTCTTGTGTTGTGTCTCGTCCTGTGAAGAGATCAGAATATCATCAATATAAGTAAAACAGAAATCGAGACCAGCAGTTATCCGATCCATAAACCTTTGAAAAGTTTGAGCTGCGTTTCGAAGTCCGAATGTCATGTATGGAAATTCGAAAAGTCCGAACAGTGTGATAATTGCAGTTTTAGGAATATCCGATTCGCGGACTGGAATTTGCTGATATGCACGTACTAGATCTATCGTAGAAAATATGGTTTTGGCATGCAGAAAATGTGTGCTGTCCTGTAAGAAGGGAATTGAATAACGGTCTGGGATGGTTATCTCGTTGAGTTTGCGGTAATCTCCACACGGACGTCAGTCGCTATTTTTCTGCTGCACAAGATGTAAAGGACTAGCCCAAGGACTCTTGGAAGAGTCTTCTACATAAGCCTTGTTGCACTATATACTCAAATTCCAGTTTAGCTGCTTTGAATTTTTCTGGACAAAGTTGCCTGGCTTTGGCTGACACAGGGGGACCCGTTGTTTCGATTACATGTTCCACCCCGTGAACAGTTTGTTGGTGTGTGATTGACGTCCTGGTAATATCAGGAAACTTGCTTAAGATTTCTCTATATGAGCAGTTTTCGGCCAACACAGTTATGCGAGGAGCGTTTTGGCTGGCTAGCTGAGCGGAGACTTTGAGAAACGTGTTGCCGTCGATTAAAAGCTTGTTTCGTATGTCCGGCAGTAAATTAAAATGCCCTAGGAAATCCGAACCAATGATGAAGGTGGTCTACATTGGCGACGATGAAGGGCCACTGAAAAATGCGACGAAATCCCAAATCAAGCTTGAGTAACTTTTATCCGTAAGTAGGGATGACCGTTCCATTTGCAGAGTAGAGCACACGGTCGCTCATATGAGTACGTTGGTGTCTCGAGACAGGAATGATCGAGACATCCGCTCCCGTGTCTACCAGGAAGAATTTAATGCCGGCGACACGATCTCTGACTATGAGGCGGCGCGCTGCCATGGCCAAACTATCTTGTGCCGGAGATAGCTCCGCTTCTAGTTTTCCAGCGCAGTCGTCTTCCAGCCGCAGGGTTGCGTACATTTAGTAGCATTTCTGCCAAAAACGTCTGTGATACCAGCAAAGACGGTTCTTCGATCTTGATCGGCTTCTGCGACGACGGTCCGATAAAGCATATGATTTGCTGCGTGATAAACGTGTTTCCAGTTTTTCTATTTTATCCAGTAGCGCAGACATTTGCGAATCCATTGTGGTAGCTTTAGTGGGTGTAAAATTTGCGACAGGTTATCGCCAATAGGTAATACATCCGTTACTTGGTCTGCCAGCTGCGACAGTTCCTCAAGATCATATTTTGTAGCTGTTAAAATAGCCTGCATCTGTTGTGGCAGGCGCTGTAACCATAAGGATCTAAGTACTTCTTTTGACGCGCCGTTTTGCGCAAGGTCCCTCATTCTGCGAAGCAACTGTGACGGACGATGATCGCCTAGATCAACTTCATTTAACAATTTACGCAGTTTTCTTTCGGCAATATCCGCGAAGCTACTGACTATCCTAATTTTGAGAGCGGCGTACTTATCTGTCGCGGGAGGGTTAAGCAGAATGTCACTAACCTCTGTCAGAGAAGTGTCGTCAAAGCACTGTATCACATAGTTGTATTTGGTTACATTTACCGTTATATTCGCTGTAAGGAATTGGGCTTCCATCTGCAAGAACCATAGATCCAGCTTCGTTTTCCAAAAAGGCATGGGTCGCATTTCGACTCGCGAAAGCGCGGGCACTTCATCGTATGAACGCGGCGACGTACCGTTACCTTGATCGCTCGAAGGAGTATCGCTTGAGCCCTCTGGCCATGTCAACGATTAAAAAATTGCACGGACGCGACGCGATCACGTCAGGGTCACCAGTTGTGGGGGCTAACGTGTCTTGTTGCTCAACACTGCGCCGTACGTGTCTGATGCCAATGATGATTCGTTGAAAGCGAAATAGAAAGGCGGGGAAATGTTTGTTTGGCAGTGAAAGGTTAATCACTGAATCTGTCTCAAGTTTAAAGATAATTTATTACAACTCAAGTGAATATGTTTACGTATGAAGAACTCGTGTAGACGTGATCGCGTGCGAATGACAATAATAATAACGGTATCACAAGACCGGCTATGATACAGAGAACTTAGAAATTAATGACAAGATTATTGTCTAACGACATGAACAATTAAGATCTCGCGACGTAACTTAAACAGGAAAATAATACATCTTATATAAAGCGCTACTTACAATTTATCGCTGTGTTTTATAAAATGCATGACGCACGCAATACGCTGGACGCTTGTATCTCTCTAATCAACGAGTATCTTCTAGAGAGAAAACTGAAAAAGAACAGATTTGAGCGCTGCAGCTAAAGCCTGCAACGCCACAGTTGCTAGCCTTCCATTATTCTTTGAATTAGCCTTTATACTTCGCTATAGTCACTCGGACGCGGCACATTCGCTAATACCCCACTAGGCTCACGAGGGTGCGCCACCCAACGTGTTTATACTCTGTTATACTTACAAGAGTACGCCAGCCAATGTGCTCAATTTCCATATTTCGCTACAGTCACATGAAAGAAATAACAGCGTGCTAGTAAGCGACACTGTCGCTATCGTTTCACTGATATGTGAATTTATTGGTAACGCATAAGACGCCCTGTATTTACTTCGAGAGCAAATTGTTGCTCTTTTTAATGAAATAAAATAAAATATTTTTTCAATTGTGTGTAATCCCTACACCTCTGATTTTATTCGTACAGATTTTATAGGTTGAGCATGGCGCCCGTGGACATACTAGAAAAAATATTGTTATGTTCCAAATATAAATGCGTTTTGGATATAAATGGAAAAGTAATTAGTCCAAATCTACTATATATAAGGAATTAAGTACTTTATCAGAAGGAAAGATAACTCCGAAATACATTTACACCATTTTGTTGCAAAATAAATATGGATTATATGACAAAATTTTAAATTATTATTATATATATAAACCTGCTAATATTAAACTTGATATATCTGATACTGATGACGAATCGTTTAATTTGTCAACCACGGAAAAGGATATAGAATTTAATGTCACTATATCTTTAAAAACATGGCACGATATAGATTGCGAGTCAGTAATTTATAGATCGAATGGTAAAGTACAGAGAAATTATAATACATTGCGGCGCCGCAGAAGGACACATACAATTTTCGAACTAATATACGAAACAACGAAGTTGCTATGTGTATTTATGTTTAAACGGTGCAAAATTTCTGAAACGGGAATTTATGCAACTGTTCATGCAAAATATCCAGATTACCAGTCAAATTTTATTGGAAAAATTATTAATACACCTTAGAATAACACAGATGTTCAAATGGAATGCCGTGTAACAAATTATAACGCAGACATTAAACATACAAAGAAACGTCCTCTGAGTGGACAAAATAGAGAAATATCGCAATCTCTCGCAACAGGCAACAACATGGCGAAGGGAAAAAACTTCAAAATTAATGAATTTATATGATTCGGAACCACCGCATCTACATAAAGCTTCTACTCTGAGAAAAGCAAAACAAGAGAGACAAGATCTCAATTTACAAGTTAAAGGATCGTGTACTAATCTTCAAAATATGAAATATACAAATCATGCAAGTTCCACCCATTGTATAGGCTATGATCCATTTTTTGTTCACTATTAGACAACTGAACAAATGATTGTTTACTTAGAATATTACGATATACTTTATATTGATGCAACTGGTTCATTAATAAAAAAAATTCAATTACCAAATTGGAGAACTATTGCCACATACATATATATAATATTTATATCAAGCAGTCACGAAAGTTCCTGATTACAAAATGCCAGTATTTCAAATGTTGAACGCTGTACAAAATGTCAATGCTATACAATATTGGCTAAGGGATTATATACGTTTAAAATTTTCAAAAAATCGATTTTTCAAAAATGATATTTTCTAAAAGTAGGTATTTAGAAGAATATTTCCTGAAAGTTTTAAATCGATCCGACAAATATTTCCAGAGATACAAGCTGTTGTGTACTTACGTCCGATAGCGTTTCGACCATTGCATGGTCTCACTGTGCGCATACTCGATAGTGCAGCTTAATGCGCTTTTTTTTAGACAAAAATATAAATTCATACATAAATAGCAAAATAAATGTATTTACAATATAAAAAAAATTTACTTTATCATAAATCTAAATTTTTCATATCGACAATGAGACTACTAGGGTTTGAACGTTCGTGGTTTGTGCTCACTTCCATGTCGCACGCGAAGAATTGCTAAGTAGAAGTTGTGTGTTGACGATCGTCATGAAATTAGTTGCGTGTGATTAACTAATTGCAAATCTAAGCTAACCTTAGGCGAAAATTCACATCGCTATGTTCAAAGTGAAGACGCAGCGCGCGTATCTATCGCTGAACAGAGAACGCAGCGGAGTACGCAGGAAGCAAGAACGGCTCGCAAACAAAGATATATTAAAACTTTGGAAGCTGTTACTGCTGCAGAAAAGCTGTTATATGGGCCTGGAATAGATGACACTATGTAAGTAAAAAACAAAATTTTTTTAAATACATTTTCTCTGGTTTCAAACTTTAAACGCGTTTTTCTCAAAACTACATTTTCAAAGTCGGTGAGCAAGATACCTCAAAAACTAATGAATCGATCTCTCTAAATTTTTTTTTACTTACTTTGGACATAAATATCTCGTAATTAATTGAAGGATTTATATTTTAAATGCGTAGTTTTTTTTTATCGACGAAAAAAGGATAATTTTTAAGGTAAAAATCGAGAACTTTTTTTTAATGAGCTGCCATTTTGTTTGTAATCAATATTATCAAAAACCGAACGATTAATTACTAGCTTATACAATATACTAATGAAATTTTTTTGGATTTTTGATTTCAGATGAGTTACTGCCGAGATATGTTGCTCACCGCAAAACTATTTTTTTTTAAATACGTCTCTGTAGACCGGCGCAGATTCTAAATTATTAAATATTTTTGTACAAAAAAAATTTTGAAATAACTTTAAATATAACTTTATTGGATGTACAAACTTAAACATATGTATATAGTTTCATTTTGTTTAAAAAAAAATCCTTAAAAAATCGTTTTTTCCGTCCCTCTAAATGTATATAACCCCTTAAACGAATTCTTGCGTATTGGATTAATTTAATTTGGAAATGATTATTTTTCTGAGACATCCTGGAAAATTAATTTCCCATATTTTCAACTTTCTTTTATTTCTTTCCTTTCTTCCGTCATTATGCATTTGATTATGATGTAATTATCTTTAGAATCTATTTCTCGGTTGTGAGAGAGCTCATTACGATTAAACATCTTTTTATCTTTTGTTATTTTTTAAATTATAATTTATTTATGAAAATTTTATTGTCTCTGAAGAAGGCTCAAAAATGAGTCGAAACATGTAAGCTTATTATTTAATAATTTTTTGTAATAGATAGATTTGCTAGATATATATCGGTGTTGCGTGAAGTTATCTACGCTTAACTCCTAGTGCCCTTTTCTTTCCAAGTTAATTTTTGATTTATACAGAGGAGTTTGTTATTTATGAATTAATATATTCTACGACAGATATAAAAACAGAATTTTTTTCTGAGGAATGTGACATTATGCCAAACGATACAAATGATTTAAATTTAGAACATAATTGGAGAATCAAAAAAATACAACACAAACAAATAAAAGAAAAACTTATTTGGACAACTGCCCGGACTGGGATATAAATCATACAGGAAAGATGCGCATAGGAGTCGCAAATCTGCAAAATGGTAGTCTATGTTCCTTTCTAATTATCGATCAAAAAAGAGTTGTTGTTACCAATACATGTGGATTTGACAGTTTTGCATCCATAATTGCTTGCGCATGCATTAACGAATATTATAAAAATAATGTTGAAACATCCGATACTGACGCGATACAATTCATTAAATGGTTTTTAAAAAATGGTTGCAACAAAAATACATATATACCTTAAGAGCCAAAATATTAATGAGTATTAATAATTTTAAAACTCAGATCGACAAAAATAATGTAACTGTAGATTGTCTCTCAAGCATAGGAAATGTTGCACAATATATTTTCAAAGATGATCCCAGATACACAGAAATAAAGAGTTGCGTTGTATGTTCCAACATCATAATTCGGCAATCTGTATTAGTTCCTATTAATGCAAATACTATAATAAACAGCGGATATTGCGAGCTTGCCACGGCTATATCAGAAGGTATGCCAAATAATAGATCCGTCTGCTGTAAACAACGTATGAACAGAAACATAAAGTACGGAAAATAAATATTTATAGAATGCGACACAGCGACACAATAGATGATATACAGAAAGAACATAGCCTTGTAGAATTTCCGCCAAAAATTCAAGTTAGTGATAATTTATTTCTTTTAGCGGGCACAGTAGCACGATACGGTGATTAAAAATGGACATTACATAGGATATTCTTATTAATGGATAGAGTTTGATGATTTAAAGAAGAATTTAAGAAACAGTACTGTCCAGAGGATTCTCACGATTCTTTCTTTCGGAAAGATCTAGAAGTGTCGAGATAGTGAGACAATAAATAAATAACCGACAGTTCGACTGTCGCTTTTCCACACACAAAAATCTAAGTAAAAGTACTCGCTAACTCGCCATAAATGTCATTCTAAGACAACTCATTTACGAGCGCACGTGCACGA